TTATTGTTTAATATATTTTATTTTATTGTTTAATATATTTTATTTTTACAATATATTTTAGTACATTGCAAATTTTCACAATTTGTACTCTTCCATAGAATGATTTAACAAATTTGAATCTTATTCAATTATTGTATGCTTAAATCTATGAATCAAAATTGTTAACATGATCTTTCAGAATTTCTAAGATATTTGTTTGCATTATTTTGTTTGTTAAAATTTAAAGAGAATATAAAAAGTGGGAATGGTTTAATTTGATGAAAAATAATTTTTAATTATAACATAATAAATTAAAATGATTGTTAAATTATGTTGTATAGCTAAGAGAAGAAAAGAGGTATTTTGGAAGTGAGATTTTTTTGATATGCAAGAAGATTTCGACACATATTTTGATGTTACAATATTTTATAACCAGTTTCTGAACGTTTTCCTTCAACACTTATACTGATTACTTGCAAAGCTTTCACATTCAATAACAATTTAAAACCGGATTATCAACATCATCATCATCATCAATTTGTATGTAATAATTTGAAGAAGCCTAAATCTGGTGATATATTAACTTACAGTAATCCGTAATAATGAAAATTTGATGAAATCAAAAATATAAAATGAAAAGATGTTTTGCTCTAATTAATAATAATAATAATAATAAGTGCTACTAATATCTAATTTGTTAAGAAAATATGCGTAATTAAATTAAGGAATTATCAAAAAAAGGGAAAAAAGAACGGAAAGATTTTAATTTTATAACAAATATTCCTAATCTATTCTCTGTTTCTCCTTTTCTGATTCAATGATACATTAATCATTTTATAAAATAATTAAGAAAATATAATTGAAAGAATGATGATCGTAATTTAAAAAAGAAGGGAAATGTAAACTAATTATTGTATAAGTGCTACCGTAATATCAAATGATGATCGTAATTTACGACCGTATTTTATTACAGAAATGAATACTGTATTATTTATTTAATATTTGTAATTAAGAAAATACAATTGGAAGAAGGGAAATTTATTGTTTATTTACTATCACTTATTTATTTATTTAGAAGGAATATTTATTATTCATTTATTAATATTTATTTATTATTAAACAAATTATGGAAGAATTGATTAATTTAGTAATAAGTGATTGAATGTATGAAATAGTAAGGAATAGTACAGAAAGAAATAAGTCATTAATAATTTACAGTATCCTTTGTCTCTTTGCTTTATTGGCAAGCAATAAGATTAATGTAAAAAATTTTACGAAAATAAAAATTTAAAATTAAAAATAAATAATGACTCTAATTGTCTTTTTTTTCTTCCACTTTACTGTCATTAAAATATTATCGTATCGCGGATCTATCAAATGATAATTAATTATGTCTATGAAAAAATTGCTTATCGTATTGAAATTTTCGGCTTCTATTAACTATCATTAAATACAATTCTTAAAATATAGATTGGAAAGTTTTTTTTTAATCTAATTCGTAGTAATTTTTGGTGTGTAAATTTTCTGATTGAAATATTGTTAAAGTTGAAAAAGTAACTGATTTATTTGATGAAACTTAAATTCATAAATTGTTATTTTTAATTTGAATTATACCTATCGAATGTTTTATTTTAGATTATTGTTGACAGCTTTGTTAGCAATCGGTGCGGTAAATTTCCATGAACATAATAATGTTCGTGAAGACTTTAGTGCAGATGATTCTCCATCACGGTATGAATATGCGGTCACTGAAGATTTCTTTCGAAGTTTTGGATCACCCTTTCATTTAGTTGTAGCTATGAAAGCAGCTGATGATGGATCACTTTTAAGACCCGAGTAAGTTGCATTTTATCGTGATAATAGCGATCTAATCGTAATAATAGCGATATTATAGTGATAAGTTACATTTTATCGTGATAATATTAGATGGGAAATAATAAAGTTGAAAATTATGTCAAAAATGATCATAAATATTATTATTGGTTGATTAGACCATCAATCATTAAATGTTTATCTTGAAAGGAAAAGTCATATCTTGAAACAATTGTCAAATCGTTTCAAAACATGATTTCCAATCTTTATTGTTTAGGATAGAAATTAAATATGGAAGTTTTAATAAAACAATAGGATAATTTTGTTCATTCATTTTTGCCTAAACTTTTGTTATTATTTTATTTTACATACTTGTACGACTAATTAATTACTGCAATAATAAAATAACTAAAATAATTACTTTTAATTACTTAAAGAATAAGTAAGTAATATTGAAGATATTTGGCTAAAGTGATTGAAATCGAAGATTATTTACAATCAAAACTCAGCGTTCCATACAACGGGCGACAGATTACCTATTCGGATTTTTGCGAATCAAACTGTGAGACAAGTGATGTTGTCAGCATTTTCCTGAATATATACAGAGAAGTTCATGTCAGGTAGGATTCAATTCAATTTAATATGATGAACGAATTTTATTATAATATCATCATAAATAACTTTTAATTAAAATTTTAAATTTATTGTTTAAGAAAAAAAGGAAACGTCAAGTTAACATATCCATCAATGGATGTATTTGGTAATCGAATATATCTTGCCAATAATATTTTTCAAGTGGAACTCAACAACAAGTTGGTTTATTTAGCTATTTGAAATAATAAGTTATTATCAAAATCATTTAAAACAATAATTATAATGAAATAATAAGTTATTATCAAAATCATTTAAAACAATAATTATAAAATAATTAATTATAATGATATCAGTAAACAAGTGGATATTGCATTAACTCGGACTTTTTTTTAGTGTTGAAATTTCAATAGTGTTGAAATTTCCAAGTATTCTACCTGAAGATATGACAATTGAATTGATTTTCTTGATTAGAAATGACCTTAAATTGAATATTTTTAACTTGAAATGATACAACAAAAAGAAGCTCTTCCTATTTATTCTACATAAAAAAATTATATTGATCTGAAGTTACGATAATGAAAGATCATGATGATAACCATAACTATGTATTAAAGGAAACTCTGAAATTAAAATGAAAACATTCTAATTTATAATACCAATGATCTTAATTATCATCATGATTATCATCATCATCATCATCTCAATTAATTCGCAAATATAATTAAAAAAATCAAAATTAAGTTCTCATTAAATTGTTATGAATAGAATTAGTTGGCATTTTTTTTACTTCCAATCTTTTTCATTTTGATCAATTCTAAGTTTATTGAATATTCTATCGGCTGATCATCACATTATCATTACAATCGCTTCTGCAATCAATTATCAAATAATTTAATTTGAAGATCTCATATAATCGAAAGTTGTCGAATGATTGCGATTAACTTTCAAGCAATTCAAAAGAATGCTTCAAGTGTGGAAATAATGAATCGCTGGGAGCAGGAAGTATTCATGTTTTCCGAAAGTACGAAAAATGATTCATTGATCCGAGTCTATGCTACATCTGAAGGTTTAGTCAGTAGTGAAGTTCGTCGGACAGGTTTGTATTTCTTTGAGAAAGAACTTGATTCCACTTGTTATGAAATTAACTCTACTTGAGAAAAATTAAAGAAAAATAAATAAATTTTAGTGCTGAAAAATTTAAAAAAATTTTTGGAAATTTCGAAATTTTCAAAAATGAGGAAAAAATAATTTCTTAAAAAATTATAATTAATTTACACATTTCAACCTTACTTTCGTTAATATTACTGTAACAAAATAAATCGATTTCAGGTTTACGAGCATTACCTTTCATTACTATATCCTTTATTGCGGTATTATTATTTACGGTAATAACATCACTAAAACGTGATCCAATAACCAGTAAACCATGGGAAGCAGCATTTGGTGTCTTCTGTCCCATCCTTTCACTTATTGGATCATTCGGATTACTATTTTGGGTATATAAAATTTCATCATTGAACTGAAAATTTTAAATACAAAAAGATATGAAATTAGGAAAAATGAGTTTTCAATGATAAAAAAAGAAATGAAAGTGATAACTCTTATCAAAAGTAATTCTTATCAAAAGTAAAAAATTTAGAAATTATTCCTTCATAATATCATCGCAATATTCAATAATCAGGTAAATGCGTAATCTAAGACTAAAAGATTCGAATAATTTACAAGTCTATGATACTTATGATCTTACTATCATATCAGCATGAAAGTTTATTGATTTTCAGCATTTAGCATAATGATTAACAATTTCTGCATGAATCTTATCAACGAATAACTGCGCTACATTTTGTTTAATGTGTATAAATTAATGTTAATCCAAAATTTCAGTTTAAATTTCCATTCCTACCAATCGTCTGTGTGGTACCATTTTTGGTGCTAGCAATTGGTGTCGATGATGTATTCATCTTTCTTCACTGTTACCATCAAACAGATCCAAAACTTTCGGTTGAAGAACGAATTGGTAAAATGCTTGCTGAAGCTGGCCCATCAATAACCATTACTTCCCTTACCAATTTTCTATCATTTGCAATCAGTATTTTTACTCCTACTCCAGCTATACAGGTAATCAATCAATTATCTTTCATACATATCAAAGAATTAAATAAGAAATCAATTCATTAAATGTATTTAGCGATTACGTAAGAAGACGTGGAGGACTTTTCATTAAAGTTTCGAAGTGATAATGTTTTACTTAATTTCTTCTACTAAAAAATTTTCCATGGTTACTACAAAATTCATCTGTGAGAAATTTTCTACGATTTTTACGAAATTCGTTTTATTCCATAATTTTTTCAGGTAAAGGTAAAACTTTTAAAATGATTTTATTTTACAGATATTCAGCACATACATTAGTATCGCGGTAATATTTGATTACACTTATCAAATTTTCTTATATTCCGCAATTTTGACGTTTGGTGCTCATCGTGAAAAAAAACGTTTACATTCATTTATTCCGTGTATATCGATTTCTGAAACTGATAAGGTTATTTTCATCAATTTTAAATTTTCAAATTTCTATTTTTATTAAATCACTGAAGCAACAGATAAATATTTAGCATAATATATCAGCTTCAAATATTACAATAACTCTGGGTTAATTTTTAAACTCCTGGTATGTACCGATAATAATAATAATCATAATAATAATAATGATAATAACCGTAATCTTAGTAATGATAATAATCATAATCTTAATCATAATAATATATTTTTGATCAAAAAAATAACTATGATTTTAGCTGATTTTCCGATGATAATAATCATTAAATTGTATAATTTATTATTATTATTATTGTAAATGCAATTCAAATAATTTCTGATACTAAAAATTTGTCATTGTTATTTATTTATAAGAAATATTTGTGATGAATGAAATGAATAAAATAATATAATAATAATTATTTTTTACAGAAAAAAATAGTAATTATTAAAAGTAGTAATTATTATTATTATTATTATTATTATTATTGTTGTACTAATAATGAAGAAAAATGTTCTTTATAGCGATCCGTTAAAAATCAATCAGATATTTCGGATACATTCGAGAAATTGATGAATGATTTTGTTGATTTATGGGTGGATATAGCAATGAATAATATCACAAGGATAATTGTTGCTTGTTTTATGATTATTTATTGTATTGTTGCTGTACATGGAGTATTGCAAATTAAAGTATAATTTTTAATCCAATAATTTATGAATTATTAATTTTTCCACAATTTTGTTTTGTAATATTTTTGAGAATGATGTAAATATATTTACAATTTACAATAAATTTTGTGGAATTTTCGCCTTTTAATATTTTTTAGCAAATTTTTTTTATTTTAAATTTTATAATAAATTCTTCAGAATATTCAACATATTATCAAAATTTCAAATTTACAGGTTGGATTAACATCAGAAAAATTATTCTCATCTGATTCACCATTGTTACCATTTGTAAAGTTACAAACCGAAATTATTTTCAAAGAAGGTGGACAGGTGAGTAGAATTATTATATATCTCATTAGTTAATATCATACTATTTTTCATTTATAATCATTAATTTCAAAATAATAGAATTAATTTTCATTAGGTAATTTTGTTCTTCTTTAATGAATTTATTGTCTCTCTTATCATTTCGTGTAATTTTTTTCTATTAGTAGTACTATTTGAAAATTTATTGCACCATCGGAATTGTTAATTATTATAATTGTTTTAATCTTTACGGATTTCCTAATTTAAGTTTTTAAAAAATAAATTTAAATTATGCAATTCTAACTAGAAATTTCAGATCATTTTTGTTTCTAAAGCTTATTCCCATTGTTTCTTCTAATTTTTTGCGGACTAAAATTATTTTTTCTTTCTAAATTGTAATTTAATTATGAAAGATTTTAATTAGCATTAGCATAATTTGTTTGGAAATATCTTCGAGTTTATTTCAAACATTTTAAAATTTATTTCAGGTTGCAATATTTGTCAATAATCCAGGTGATATGCGGAAACCAGAAATAATTCCAGAGATGATGCGTCTCGTAAATGATTTTGAACATGCTACAGGAAGTATCGGTTCCGCTAGTACTCATTTATGGTTCATACCATATTTGTCATACGTAGGAATACAGGTATATCTGATAAATATAAATTCATTATATCGCACGTTAGCTTTGCATTTTTACGCCGAATATCTTTTATGCTCATTTTTAGGTTTTAACATATCGTTATTTTATCAGATTTGTATTTTAAATTTTTAATTAGATTCTTTATAAAGATTCGTTATTTATCTTAATTTATCACTTTATAAGAATATAAAAAATTTATTTTATTTACAGGAACATGGAGATATTAATTTCAAATATAAATATTTACCGGAATTTATGAAATTACGTGAATATCACAGTTGGAATTCATTTGTCAATTTTGGATTACCTGAGTAGGAGGATTCTTTGCGATAAATTATTGATAAATGAAAGACTATCATAGATAATGAGATCCTTTATGATAAATTATTATTGATAAATGAGAGACTATCATAGATAATGAGATTCTTTTTGATAAATGAAAGATTATGATAGATACAATAAATACCGGTTATTCGTATCATTCTAAAATTTTATTTTATTTTTTTAAAATCTTTTATTCTTTTTCATTTTTTTATTTTATAAATAGAATCATTATTTATTTATTGCAGAGATTGTCAGAATGAGAAACCAGCTTGTTTACAAAAATTCTTCTTTTCAACGGGTTTTCGAAATGCTGTGCAATGGTCGGAACGTTTACAATTACTACAAGAATGGCGTAATATTGCTGCTCGATATTCGAAATTTAATGTTTCAGTTCATGAACCATTCAGTATGTATGCAGATCAGGTATTGATTTATTTATTTTGATAATTATATCGGAAAAAAATTTTTTTTTATAAATGAGAAGATGAAATGATAATTTAGAGTTAATTAAATTTGATATGATGATAAGAAATCATTATTATATCATCATAAATAGAATTATTATTAGAGTTAATTGAATTAGTTAAGATGATAAGAAATTATTATTATATCACTATAAATAGAATTATTATTAGAGTTAATTAAATTTGTTAAGATGATAAGAAATCATTATTATATCATCATAAATAGAATTATCACTAGAGTTGATTGAATTAGTTAAGGTGATAACAAATCATTATTATATCATCATAAATAGAATTATTATCGATTTATAAATTGTTTTTATCGTATTTTTTTAATTCAGAATAAATATAAAAAATTATTTATACTTAATGTGAAGCATTCTTTTGATATAAATTATCATTAATATAGTTTGAATTGATCAGATGAATGATGATAATCGAATTATTTTAGCTGCTTACAATAGTTCCGGTCACAAAGTCCACCGTAATATTTGCATTTATTATAATGGCACTTGTACTGACCACTTTTACACCATCAATAACAACAATCGTTTCATCCACACTTTCAATTATATCAATCAATTTGGGAGTGCTTGGTTCACTAACATATTGGAACATCGATCTCGATCCTATTTCAATGGCCACTATCCTGATGGCTATTGGCTTTTCTGTGGATTTCATTGCCCATATTACATTTCATTATTACAAGGGTCAAACAAAGGTAACCTTTTATATATAAACCTTCAAAACTTTCAATCTTAAAATTTCTAAATTTCAGTTTTGTTAATAAATAAATTAATGAATAATTTTTTATTTAAAACAGTTTTAATTATTAAAATCCTTAATTATTAAAATAGTCTTAATTATTAAAAAGAAAATTTTTTTAAAGGGTAAACGTGAACGCTTGAAGCATGCACTTAAATCAATAGCATGGCCTATGACACAAGCTGGTATATCGACAATTTTATGTTTATGTGTCCTTGGTGTAATTCAAGCCTATATGGTGAAAGTTTTCGTTAAAGTAGTAATAATCGTTGTCATACTTGGTCTTCTTCATGGTTTAATTATTTTGCCAGTTGTTTTTGGTGCAATACCATTGCGGAAACGAATTATTGCTGATGTTGACAAAGTATCAACAAATTCAACCCTTCAAAAGGTTTTTCTTTTATTATTAATATTATTATTATTTATTATTATTTTATATTATTATTATTAATATTAATATTATTATTATTATTATTGTTATTATTGTTATTATTATTATTATTATTGCTATTATTACTATTATTAATTCTTTTATTTATGAAATTATATGTTAAGTTTATATTTTAGAATTCTTTTTTCAAAATCAAAGTACTATGAAATTTTCTAATACTCTAACAACAACAACAACTAATTAAATTAATATTAAAAATAAGAATTCATCGAAAGAAATGATAATATGAAAAATGTAAAGGAAAAAAATTTTTTAAAAGAATGTAGAGATGATTTTATTTGAAATTTAAATTTCATTATTTCATTTTAATTTTTTAAAATGTTTTACCGTAATAATTTGTCAATTTTACAGAATCATACCATACGAATAGCTGTACCAGCGGTAACAATTACACCAATAACAATCAGAAAAAATGAGCTGGAAAAGCAAATTTCATCGGGTCCACGTTATCATGATTCGAGGGGTTAAAAATCATTGAATACCTTTTACTAAAAATTTCTTCCCTCTTTTCTTTGTTTTAATTTTTAAGTGCAATAATTTAACATAGAGTATATTTAATTCAAATCGATAAAAATAATTTTGAAATAAACAAATGAAATAAATTTTCAATATCATAAATATTACTATCTAAAATAAATATTATTTATTACTTATAATATAGCACTTATTTTTATGTTAATCGAACCTAATTTCAATTTGTTTGTTATCATATCGATTAATTTTTGTAATAGTATGTTAAACTAATTGCTAATTTGTTATGCTGTTGAAATACTTTTTGATCATTAAAGAAAAATTGATTAGGAAACGATCTATAAATATCATATAAAGTACGCAAGTACCATATGCTATAAGTATCGTATGCTTTTTTGTATTTTCTTTTTTTCTCATAATATTAGTAAGATATTTAAGTAATAATAATAATAATGTCTGAATTCTTTTTTAAATTGTTATTTGTCATAATTATTAATACAATTAATTAATTATTATTAATTAATTAATTCCAACAAAAATTTATGATTTATATTTTTGAATTATTTTTTATAAAATAGAAATTTTCATTGAAATTACTATTTTAACAATATTTATTCCTCTTAATGCTATATTCAATTGGAGATAATTTTGAAAAAAAGCCTAAAATTATTATTTGCTGAAATATTAATTTAAATTTTGATAATTTAACTTTTCATAAATGACAAAAATATATTCATTCCATAATACCATAATGTAATACCGTAATATATTCCATAATACGATAATATAACACCATAATCTGTCATACCGTAATCGAAAGATCTTTTCTTTGTTTCAATTTTAGCAATATTTTGAAATAAAATAACTCGATTTTTTTTTTTGCTCCAATTTAACAGTACTTTGAAATAAGATAACCCGGGCAGATAATTCGAGAACAAGCGGGAAATGTTACATTTTGTTCTTCGTTGCTGAAGCTGTATTTTTGCATTAGATATATAATTTTATTTATTCATCTATGTTCGTATAGAAAAAAAACTCTAAAATTCTTTTGTTTTAATTTTAACATTGTAAACATCACAAAGTTATTCAGTTTCCCTCGGGAAATAATTAAATTTTTATGGTACCTTATAATAAGCAAGAAATAAAGTCTTTTTTTATCTAACTATATTTGCATAAAAAGCTCTAAAACTCTTTTGTTTTAGTTTAACATTCATGAAAATCATAAATATCAGAATGTCATTCAATTTCCCTCGGGAATTAATAATTTCCAGTTTTGTCTACCTTATAAATAAGCAAAAGCAAAATTTTTAAATGAGCAAAAATCAAAAAATAAGCTATTTTAAAATGGAATGATTATATTATGAATTATACATGTTATCATCATTTAATATTAGAATATCAGGATCAAACATTTCTAGAAATTATTTTCACCTGGAAATATTTTTTTTTTATTCATTAATTTCCACTAAAATTTCCATTAATTTGACATTAGTATCAAATATAATTGATATCGATTATTAGATCTGAGAATTGCTACGATTTCAGTTAATTTTGAAAAAAAAAAAGAAGGAGAGGAAAATTTTCGATGAAAATTTTATTTCCTCCCGAATTTTAAAATTAACTATTCAAATCAAATATTATTTGATAACAAAAGGGAAGAAGATGAATGATCATAATGTTATCATGATATCATCGTTTAATATTAGAATTACCACCGGGAATCCCACTTCTAATTTCTGTTGACTTCTTTGGCAATGATGCATCAGTGGAGTATGTGTTGCAATGTGGACACATCCATGATATTTGCGCACATCCGCTTAATTGTTTACACCTGAAATTTCTTTTATCTTTTTTTTTTTAATTTGTAAAATTGTTTTAAATTTTAAAAATTTAATTTAAAAAAATGATAAAGAATGGATGATACACAAAAATAATTCCATCAAAAAGCTTTCTAAATAAACATTATTATTAAGCAATTTAATTAATTGTTGAATAAACAATAGAATTCTTCGCTTCATTAAAACAAATAATTAACCCTAACATTTTCATTTCTTTTAAAATTTAATAGTTTCATTTAAATTTAATAATAGATAATCTTAGGGAAATATTTATGATATTCATATGTCAAATGAAAAATATTCGGCGTTTAAAATTATTGCTCAATTATTTGATAATTATTTATTTCAATTGAAACAAACAATTGAATTTCAAAAATTCATTTACCAAAAATGATATGCTTTAAATAAAATTATTTTCTCTTCCTCACTTTTCGATATTTCCAATTATTGTCTTCTTCCTTTTTCATTTCTTAATGATTAAATTTTCATTTAGTTAATAGCATTTGACTTACATGAAGAATGAATACGCTTTTTCGCCCTAATAGAAATGAATAATTTGTGAAGGATAGAAAATTGAAAATTAAATTTCATTCATTTGAGATTAGACAAAAGAATCAATGCGAAATTGCTACAATCAAAAAATTTCTTTTGAAATTCCTTTTTTTTAAAATAATTAATTAATTTCTCAATCCAAAAAATGCTTACTCAATTTATCATTACTAAAAAATTGCAACGAAAAGAAATTTTCCTTTTTTTTAGTGAAAGAAAATGCTCAGAAGAATGGATAACAATCGTAATGAATTATTAGATGCAATGATTACAGTATCAATGGTGAAAAGAATAGCGATAATATTGCTAGTACCAATGACAGTACTACTGTATTAACATTATAAAGTTTATTTCTCATAGAAAATTTATGATATTAAATGCTCAAAAATTATTCCATTCTTTGTCATCCTAATGGTAATCGATAAGTAAAAAATTAACATAAAAAGTCTGTAATTGATAAGTAAAAAAAATTAAGATAAAAAGGTATTGATAAAATAATAACTTGTAAATATATCAGAATAAAATAATTTTAATTGTACCTTTGACAGGTATGCAATTTTATCCCCGGATTCTTTAGCAGTATTTTTAAACGATCCAACATTGCAGCACGTGCCCGAATTGATAGGCATTCATCTGAACAAAAAAACTAAAGGCTGTTTTTTTGTTCTTTCGTTAAAAGATTTAAATTTAGAAGAGTATACTTATTAAAAGAATGATAGGATGAGAAATGCTAACAAGTTTGTTGTTGAGTCATTTCAAGTAAATGTTCTGGCCGATGAAGCATCTGAAGGCAAGGATCAAGTAATTGATGCAGGAAACATCGATCCAATAATGATAATCGTACAAAAACTGATAACTAAAATTGGAAGAATATTTTAGAACGGAAAATATGCGAATGATCAACCAGCATGCAGAAATTTGAAGTAATTTTCGACATTCTATGATGTCATTATTGCGAATATCATTTCAATGATTTAGCAATTGTTTTAAAGTTGCTAAATAATTGAGTGGCCTAAATTTTAGTCTATTAATTTTAATTTGGAAATTTTAATTGGGAATATGTTCAAATGCTAAATAATTGAGTGGCCTAAATTTCAGTCTATTAATTTTAATTTGGCAACTTTAATTAGGAATATTTTCAAATTTCATATTTTATCATAATTTAAAATTTTCAAGAAATTTAATGAATGCAACTGTTTAATGAGTAAATCCAAATTAACTAAATAACAAGATTTCAGAAATTGAAGTATGTTGTAGTAATTGAAGAAAATAATACAATTTTTGCTAACTTGAGTATGAGGTGCAAGAAGTAACATTGCGCATTTTCTCAACAAACCTGCTGATTCCATCTTACATGCTGCTATCAGTACTGGTCCTATATTAGCTTCTGCAATTCAAAAAATTAAATTTTTTTTTCAGTTTGCTATATAATAAGAATCTAAATTCAGTCATGCCTTAAAATGTGAAAACGAATCAATTAATTCTTACCAGATTTACACAGAATTGTTAAACCCTGGAAATAAACAAAACCTGTTATCTTAAGTTGGGGTGGATAAACTGCCATCAGAAAAGCTTTTAATTCCTCATGCGTACACGGGCAAAATATTTCATCCGTACTCTTTATTGAAGATATACGTTCCTAAGAAGAAGGAATTTAAATCTATTATTTTTCATTTTTTTTTTACTTTTGATTATACTTTAGAATTTAACCAAAAATTTTGAAGTGAATAATCTTAATTAAGATTAAAATTCAAATCACTAAAATTTGGATTTAAAAAAAAGGTTTTATTCCAAAACATTTAAGTAAATAATTTTATTCCTGAAATTAATAATTTACCAAGAAAACATTCGACCATGCAGCAATGTAGTATGGATTAACATAATAACCGCGACCAGTTTTCGTACGAATCATTACAAAATTTAATTCTGAAAGACGATGCAACTGTTCCAGATCGGTAGGTTGCTCCAACATTTCCTGTAAACCGGAAAAGTTGTAATTGAAATAAATGAAAATTTCCGGAGTTTTTTTCTTCTCATTTTTAAAATTTATAAAATAAATTGTCAAGATGCTCGAGAAAATTCTGCAAAATATTTTTGTAAAAGTTTATGAAACCTCAGGTGCTGAAGATCCATGCAACCTTTCGAGTAACAACACTTTGACACGATCGCTTAGACCATAATAACGGCTACCAGTGAGATCAATTTTTGAATTAGGCCTCATCTCTCGTAAACATAATACCAATAAACGATTTAATTTATATCTAAAATTGATGATCATTAAAATTGATTGGAAACAATATGGAAAGTGATATAATAATTAAATAAATTTAAATGGATGAAGTGAATAATTTCTTATTAATTTAAATTAATTAATGAGAAGTTTCTAAAAAATAAAATATACTATGCAAATATTTGAACTGTTTCAATAATTAAGGCTTATTAATTATCCTCCATAATTAGGAAATACCTGTCAGCTAGCCAAACTTTTTCCAAGAAAGGCAATTTATGTTGGACAAGGAAGCATTCGCAACGATGCAAAAGACCATCCATCTGAATTTTCTTTTTTTCACATTTAATTTGTAAAACAAAAAGCAATTAAAAATCAAGTATTAGCAAAATTTTCAATATTTTTCATTAAAATAAAATTTGAATAATTATGATGATTACCTCAAAATTATCGTTGAATTCAAAATTATCGAAATTGAAAAGAGCAAAAAATATTATCGAACTGATTTATCAAAATAATTTATGGCGTAAATTTTATGAGGAAATAAATTTGAGTATAAAATGTGAACGAAATATTTGCCTGATAGTCAAAAGCAAGCGGTAGTAGAATATGAACAGATTGATCATCAACATCCTTATAAGTTGGATGTATGCAAAGAAGCAATTCGAGAATATGATCATATTGCACATTTGCTAGTATCAGCTCACGATCGGGACATTCAATACACCAGGCTCTGAAAAAATAATATATAAAGTTGAATTGCTTCCAAAATTATCGGATGGTTCATTTTTTTTAGTGGATACAATACTTATTATGATATGGGTATGATATCCGTTATGCTATGATAACGGTATAATATCCGATCTGATGATACTTGTTAATTTAGGATGTTTTTGAAATCGAAAAAAAAGAAGTTTATTTTATCTTATTAAAAAATGAATTATTGAAAAGAATGAATTTTCAAAATTGAAACTGTTATGATATCCGTTATGTTACGATAACGGTATAATATCCGATCTGATGATACTTGTTAATTTAGGATGTTTTTGAAATCGAAAAAAAAGAAGCTTATTTTATCTTTTCAAAAAATGAATTTTCAAAATTAAAAAAAGAAATGTTAAATCACTTTTTCGTCTCTTAAATTCCTCAGGGATAACAAGAAATTGAATAGTAATGAAAATATGTTTGCATTTTTGCTTTAGCTATAACGTAAAAATTTACTTCATATGCTAACATTCGAGACGAAAACATTTAGTGGAATTATTTATTAATAGTAGTTTTAAAATTGATATTTCGAAGTAAACATGATTTGATTCATGTTTATTTCAAAAATTTCAATTCAATTTCCAATCCTCTTTTCTACCCTTCTATATCAGCTCATTTTACATTATTTACATTTTAATTTATATCATCTTATTTTTGCTATTTAAATTTCAAATCTTTTTTATCTTCTTCAATAATCTCGAAATGCTACAACTTTTTTTTCCCATAATTCTCAATGATAATCAAATTTTTTGAAAATTTATCAAAACAAATATTTTTCTCTGATCAATATTATTTATATCAAAAAGACAAAACTCTTTTTGCTTTTGCGTATAATCGGAAAAACGAACCGTAAAACAGGTGACCAGATAGAAATATAATGCTCATCCACATATAATCGTTTACCATCTACAAGAAGTGGTCGAGTACGTCGACCATCCGGTCGTGTAAAATCAATTATCACTTCAATTGAATTTGCTCCCGTTCGATCACATTTTTCCACTGCATTCTACAGAACAAACTAAATATCTGAATTATTGCCTTTATTCTATTCAAAAATTCTTATAGTTCAAATTAATTAAAGAAAAGTTAACTAATTAAAAAATTAATTAATATAAATTAAAAAAACTTTATAATAAAAGTTATAATAAATTTTAAAGATTTAATAAATATTGAAAATTATACTTTCATTCCTTTTCTATTTAAATTAATTTGCTCAAATCTTTTCTTTGAAATATTTTTGAGTTTTAATTTTGTTTAAACACCTGGGAAAACGAAATAATATTGTTAATTAAGAGAATTTTTTTCTGCATGAGACAATTATTCATTCGAATTGTTGATGTAGCAGAGAAATTAAAGATAAGCATAGTGAAAGTTTTTTTAGCAATAAAAAAAGAAGAAGAGAAAATGATTGTTGCGAAAGTATGTGTGAACGAATAATTTATATTATTGACAAACTTTGGGTGAGAGAAAATACGAAATTCTCTTTTTCACTCTTTCATTCTCTATCTTTCCTTTCTTTTTACCTTTTCTTACCTTTTCATTTTCCTTTTGTCATAAGAAATTATTAATGAATTATATTCATTTCAATTAGTTCAATGATTATTTGTTTCTTTAATTATGAAATTGAATTCATTCAATTTCTTTTCCACTTTTAAAGTAGTATTTAATTATTTATTATTAAGTGCTAAAATATAAAATTCATCTTTTTATTTTTATTCTTTTTCTTTTCTTTCTTTCTCTCTCTCTCTCGTTTTGAATTAAATAAAACGAAATATTTATACCTCATCGAATTTATAATTTCAAACAACAAAAATAATAAGTTATAATGAAGAATTATTTGCATTATTGATCGGATGAAATAAATTGTAAAAGTTTTTTTTCTTTTTAATTTTTATGGAAATGAATAATTTTTGAAGATGGTGAAAATTAATGAATGAGTAAATTTTCACACATTTCTTTCCTTCATATTTCTAAATGTAAAAGAATAATACTGCAAAAGTTGGAATTGAGAATTCAAAAAATAAAAAAAATAAAACAAAGCTTCAGGCATTGATCAATTAATTGTTGAAATGGGTTAAATTTAAGATTTTGGCTATGCCAAATATCGATTAATAAGGAATGATATCATTTTGAGGTACTAATAAAGTCTCAATTGATATTCCAATAAAAGGGTTAAAAAGAAAGTGAAAAGTTCACGAA